GTTAAGAAAAAAAGCCTGGACAACATAGTGAGACCCCCATCTCTACAAAAAATAAAACCTTAGCAGGGCATGGTGGTGTGTGCCCTGGGAGGCTAAAGTGGGAAGATTGCTTGAGCCCAGGAGATCCAGTGCAGTGAGCTGTGATTGCGCCACTGCTCTGCAGCCTGGGCAGTAGAGTGATACCCTGTCTCAAAAATTAAAAAAAAAAAAGGCCAGGCGCGATGGCTCACACTTATAATCCCAGCACTTTGGGAGGCCGAGGCGGGTGGATCACGAGGTCAAAAGATCAAGACCATCCTGGTCAACATGGTGAAACCCCGTCTCTACTAAAAATACAAAAAATTAGCTGGGCATGGTGGCGAGTGCCTGTAGTCCCAGCTACTCAGGAGGCTGAGGCAGGAGAATTGCCTGAACCCAGGAGGCGGAGGTTGCGGTGAGCTGAAATCGTGCCATTGCACCCCAGCCTGGGTAACAAGAGTGAAACTCCGTCACAAAAAAAAAAATAAAAAAAAAAATAAAAAAGAGAAGGTCAGATGCAGTGGCTCACGCCTGTAATCTTCGCATTTGGGAAGCCAAGGTGGGTGGATCTGAGGTCAGGTGCTCAAGACCAGCCTGGCCAACATAGGGAAACCCTGTCTCTACTAAAAATACAAAAATTGGCTGGGCGCGGTGGCTCACGCCTGTAATCCCAGCATTTTGGGAGGCCGAGGCGGGTGAATCACTGTCAGGAGATCAAGACCATCCTGGCTAACAAGGTGAAACCCCATCTCTATTAAAAATACAAAAAATTAGTTGGGCATGATGTCAGGCACCTGTAGTCCCAGCTACTCGGGAGGCTAAGGGAGGAGAATTGCTTGAACCTGGGAGGCAGAGGTTGCAGTGAGCCAAGACTGCGCCACTGCACTCCAGCCTGGGCAACAGAGCAAGACTCTGTCTTAAAAAAAAAAAAAAAAAAATTGGCCAGGAGCAGTGGCTGTAATCCCAGCACTTTGGGAGGCTCAGGTGTAGGTGGATCATTAGGTCAGGAGTTCAAGACCAACCTGGCTAACATGGTGAAAACCCATCTCTATTAAAAATATAAAAAATTAGCCAGCCATGGTGGTGTACACCTGTAGTCCTAGCTACTGAGCTACTGAGGAGGCTGGGGCAGAAGAATTGCTTGAACCTGGGAGGCAGAGGTTGCAGTGAGCTGAGATTTCACCATTGCACTCCAGCCTGGGCAAAAAAGACTGAAACTCCATCTCAAAAAATAAATTAAAAAAAAAATAATTAATTAAAAAATAAAATCAGTAAAATAAAATGCCACAATGTGGCTGGGAACGATGCCTCACATTTGTAATCCTAGCATTTTGGGAGGCCAAGGCAGCAGGACTACTTGAGCCCAGGAATTTGAGATCAGCCTAGGCAACATGTGTGACACTGTCTCTATTAAAAAAAAAAAAAAAAAAAGGGAGGGGGAAGGAAAAACCCAAATGGGGGAAAATGTTCAGCCAAATTTGCTGAATGAGTAAAGAAGTGAAAGCTTTCTGTCAAGGGCATGGGATAAACTGACTTTGAAAACAAAGCCTTGGGCTCACCTACAATCTCTACTAAGATGTCTCTTCCCGGGAACATCTTTTGGGTCTGTAGAAGAAAAGTAAAGAGACAGACACTCCCACCCCACCTCTTACACAACCAATTTGTCAGGTCAGAGCAAAAAGAGGAGATCTGCCAAACACAGGAGCTAGTCTAGGTGGGGATGTGTCTGTTTAGGTTCTATGCTAGTAAAAAACAAAGGGAAGGACAAAGCACTCTAAAAGAAGGCCCTAGATAACATCTGTAGAAGGAAATACAGGCTGAGTATCCTTACTTGAAATGTTTGGGACCAGAAGTGTCTGATTCTGAATCTTTTCAGATTTTGGAATATTTGAGCATCCCTAATCCAAAAATCTGAAATCCTCCAACCAGCATTTCCTTTGAGTGTCATGTTGGTGCTCAGATTTTGGACTTTGGATTTGGGATGCTCAACCTGCATACAATTGAGGCCCACTTCTAAATGATCAATATTTCAATTCATTTACTAATCACATTGCCCTTGGCAATGATTGACTGTGTTGTCTCCAGTAGATGCAAAGGACTGTAAGCCAGGGAGGAGGGAGAAACAGAGGAAAGGGATGCTGTCCAATTCCTTTCTACTCACTGTAACTGAATACCCCAAGAAAAATGTAGCAAGTTTCAAGTCCTTTTCTTTCCTCTCCCACAAATTACATAACAAAGGATTTGAGTAATTGTCAAAAATAAGGGGACACAATGGGGATGGGGAAAGGACATTGCTCGAACATCTAATTTGCCATTACCCTGGACCATGTCCAGAGTAGACCAGTTTAGCCAACTCTCAAGTCAAACACAAAAACCTGAAACCTGCATTTGTGCTTTTTTTTTTTTTTTTTTTTTTTTTTTTTTTGAGACAGTCTTGCTCTGTCATCCAGGCTGGAATGCAATGGCACCACCTCAGCTCACTGCAACCTCTGCTTCCCGGTTCAAGCAATTCTCCTGCCTCAGCCTCCTGAAGCTGGAATTACAGGCGCTTGCCACCATAACTGGCTAAGTTTTGTGTATATATAAATATATATATTTTTTTCTGAGACAGAGTCTACTCTGTCACCCAGGCTGGAGTGCAGTGGTGCAATCCCCACTCACTGCAACCTCTGTCTCCCGAGTTTAAGCAATTCTCTTGCCTCAGCCTCCCGAGTAGCTGGGATTACAGGCGAGCACCACCACACCTAACTAATTTTTGCATTTTTAGTAGAGATGGGGTTTCACCATGTTGGCCAGGCTGGGTCTGGACTCTTGACCTCGTGATCCACCCACCTCGGCCTCCCAAAGTGTTGGGATTACAGGCGTGAGCCATTGCGCCTGGCCCTAATTTTTGTATTTTTAGTAGAGACAGGGCTTCCTCATGTTGACCAGGTTGGTCTCAAACTCCTGACCTCAAGTGATCTGCCCGCCTCAGCCTCCTGAAGTGCTGAGATTACAAGTGTAAGCCACCGCGCGCAGCCTGTATTTGTGTTTTCTCAGTTGGCACTGAAGAACTCACTAGCAGCTCCACCCATACCTGTATTCTCAATTTTTTATTCTTTCCTAGGTGTGAACAAAGGAAAAAAAAAAAAAGGAAATATAAAGTACAGTTGGCTGTCTGGGGGTTCTGCATCTGTGGATTTAACCAACTGCAGAACAAAAGTATTCAGGAAAAGGTAATAAAAATAGTAATTAAAAATTAAAAAGTAAGCCGGGCGCGGTGGCTCAAGCCTGTAATCCCAGCACTTTGGGAGGCCGAGGCGGGTGGATCACGAGGTCAAGAGATCGAGACCATCCTGGTCAACAAGGTGAAACCCCGTCTTTACTAAAAATACAAAAATTAGCTGGGCATGATGGTGCATGCCTGTAATCCCAGCTATTCAGGAGGCTGAGGCCGGAGAATTGCCTGAACCCAGGAGGCGGAGGTTGCGGTGAGCCGAGATCGCGCCATTGCACTCCAGCCTGGGCAACAACAGCAAAACTCCGTCTCAAAAAAAAAAAAAAAAAAATTAAAAAGTAATGCAAATTTCAAAACCAACACTGCACACAACTGTGTACATAGCACTTACATTGTATTAGGTATTAGTAATCTAGAGATGATTTAAAATTTACTGGAGGATGTGTAGGTTATATGCACATGCTATGCCAATTTATGTAAGGGACTTATCATCTGTGGATTTTAGTACCCATGGGGGTCCTGGAACCAGTCTCTCATGGATACCGAGGAGGGATGACTGTTAACTGCAGTGATCAGTTTGTACATAGATGTTGGCCTTCTTGTCCTCTTCCCCTCAAACTTGTAACTAAGGCTTCATCCTTTCTCCAGCAGTTAGTCAAAAGTAACTGATACTTAGTTTTACACTTCACTTGCTTCTTTGCTTTAGAGCATGTTTCTTTCCCTCTACATGGGGAAGAGAGAACAGGATGTTTACTTAAGGACCAATCTCTCTCTTACCGATGACCCTCCCGTAGCCCTGCCTATTCGGCTTCAATGAGTTATTACTCAGCAATTGTGAACAGCAGCTGACAGGACTTGTCTATACAGTTACTCATAAACAAGTATGAGAAACGCCCCAATACCCCAAAACCCATTCTGATGGTGTTTGCATTGCTATGTCTACATACATGAGGGAATAACTCATCCCTGCTATACAAGATTGGCTTACATTTAAAAAAAATTAGGCAAAGGAAATTATGCATATTCAACAATGTGCCCAGAAAACCTAATGAGGAAGCCTCAAAGCTGTTGCTTTTTTAGGAGTAGAGATAGAAATGAGGTGGGCAAGTCAAGGCCCCAAGAGACAAGGAAAAAAGGGTGAGCCAGATTCCAGTACAGTGGTACACACTACCTGCTGGGTGTGTTCCCAGGCCACTGCTATTTAAGCGTCTGGTGACACATGTACGTACCTTCATGTAAGCAAGGGTGCTATTTAGAGCCTTCTACCCTGCCAGTGACCCAGGCCTAACCCAGATGCAGTGACTATCCCTCTTTACCCCTTAAAGCCAGCATTCCAACCCAGCCTCACTAGGTTATGAACAAGGGATGGGGTAAGAGAGGATTAAATGTAGCTTCTCTACAACAGATTGCCAATATGCAGTTAATAAGGACAGATGTGGGCAAAGAACTGGCCAGAAGGATGCCTACCACCACCCCAAACCCCCAATTCTATGCCTGCTTTAAAAATTGTACAACCTTTTGAAGACAACGCACAAAAAGTTATCAGTACAGTATATCCCGCTTCACCAACCACTCGCTGAACATCTAGAACTCACCCCACCCATAATCCCTTTCCAAAATTCAGTTACACAAAGGATCAAACAGAAAACCCACAAAGGCCATAAAGATCTTAGAGGCTCAGATCGGCTTCAGTGACATTAAGTGCAGAAGTCAAAGGGCACATCTGGAAAAGATCAACATGAGGGGAAAAGTCAACCACACAACAAAGGAAGCCATACTTTATTAAACTGGAAAACAAAATATTGGGGACAAAGAGATTTAAAAAAAAAAAAAAAAAAGGAATGGCTGGAAGAGAGTAAAGTGCAAGTGGTCACGGAGTGGTCTGTGGTAACTCTGTGTGCCTGACAAATGTGTGGGCACACGCACCACTACCCCCACCCCCCTACTCTTGGACCAAAAGCCAATACAACTGTATCTTCTGAGATATATCCAGGCTTTTCCTTCTGCATTCTGTAGTTGGTTTCACCTTCAGCCCTGGACAGTCATGCTGGGTCTTTGCTGGAGAAAACTTAGGTTTTCCCAATGACAAGCCTGCTCCACAAAGCAGCAGTTCCAGCTCCTGAGATGTTCCCTCCTATTTGCACTCACCAGGAAGCCAGGGGCCCTTGGTCCAAGCCCCAGTCTCAAAGAAAAATGTCAAACCTTTCGAACTAGTTATTTTATTAAATGATATTAATACACACTTCAAAAGGATTTCATTGTTGTTGCTTCTAAAGCATGTACTTGTTTTGTTTTCCACACTGAACAAGTGAGAATATCAATCCAACATAACTATTTTAAATCTTAACAGGCGCCTCACCCCCCCCTCCCCCCCGGCCCATTTAAAAAAAAAACGGTGGGGGAATTGGGGAAAGCAGTAATTTACAGCGGCTTCAAAACAGTAACAGCTGAAGCTCAATTCTGCAGGAACTGGTAACTTCAGGACTAGAGTGAATATCCTGCAATTAGGAAGTTTATCGTATTCACATTATCTAGATAGGTTTGCTGTACCATATATATCACAAACATTGTATTTCTGGTATTGGAAAGTATAAAAGTCCTATTCTCTGCTCATTTTCCCCTCCCCGGACTCAAACCAAATTCTATTTACTCTCAACTTTTGGGAGGGTAAAGGGGAGCAGGAAGAGAGCTCTCATTTAAGCTGACTGAAGAGTAAACTCTGTCAAAATACTTAAGGACCCTATTTCTGATACTGTATCACTGAACTTTAAGTGGTACTAGTGTATTCACAACCCCTACCAATTCTCTGTCTGTGATTTTACAGTGAGTACCAAGGACCTTAGTAACAACTTCTCACATTGTTTCAATATGAATCATGTCCTTGCCAAGACACATTAAGTTATGCTTTCTTTAAAAAATATCTTGTTTATTTGTTTAAACTCAGGTTGAAATACAAAAGTCAGAGCATGGTCATGGAGTTTTAAATCACAGACACAGAAAGAATAAAACCCCTTTGTTTCATGTTATGAATACCAGAACTGTCTTTTTTGTTTCACTATATCACATATATACATTGTCATCTCCATTTACTGCTGTAAATGTAAATTTTAAGATTTCCTTAAAATTAATAGCTGACAGTCTCATACAAATCCTCACTTCCATCCTAAAACAAACATATTGAGGATTCTGCAGCTTAAAAACCAAAAAAGTACCCCACAAAAACCCAACTCCTTAAAAGCCCATCTTTGAAACTGTACAACAAAGTCTTCCTTTCATGTATTAACCATCATACTTTTGAGGACAATTATCCCACCCCAACATTCAGGAAGCTACTTTCCTGACATCCCCACATTTTCTGATAAAATTAAATGGTCAGAGAGCCTTTTCAAGTAAACACTACTTTTAGCTTAAACCAGAGCAGCAGAGAGAATTCACATTCTTATATTCTAGAATGAAAAACATCCCATTTAATCTCTGCAAAAAAAAAAAATCTATTTCAATTTTGAAAGTCAAATATAATTTTCCCCACCCCACTTCATTTTCTCTTATGCTTTTCCCTAAACAAATGTCTTAGGACTCAATATAACTATACTTTCTTTGCTTTGCTACACTACATACCCCACCCCACACACAAGGTCATGGTATCATGCATTTTTGTGGTGAGAGCTACAGGGCACAGAGAGGGTCGAGGAAAGAAAGAACAGTTGGCTTAAAACCAGACAGGCATTAGGAAGATGAATGACCTGCAGCATCCTAACCCCAGAACGCATGGCGAGCCCAAATAAATAACAGAATAAATTACAAAAAAACTCCCAAACCATGATGCGCACTTGGTTTATGCTGCTCTTTCTCTGAAAAGCAAGTTCACTTTGAGACAGAGAATCATTTTCTGTCACTACATTGCCCACCCTCCCCCATCTTTAATATTCCACTGGATGAAAAAACAACCCCATCCTTCCTATAGTTAGTTCTACACTAACTTGGAAGAAAATATGAAATTTGCTAGAATTCTCTGAAAAACTAAACATACACTGTTTTACTCATCTAGCTGGGTGAGTGTATATGCCTTGGGGTAAGACACTAAATTAAAAAAATTGTAGTAAAGCAACATTTACTTTTCAGTATCCCTAGATATAAACACTCAAAGTACAGTGATTGTCTACCTCCCAAGTACTAGATGTAGAAATACAAACAAGTCTTTCAGTCCAGGAAGAAGGAAAGCACTTATCTTACATGTAAAATAACTAAGGGCAGAAATGGTCTTTATTTCCCACTGGGAGCAGGAAGTAGTTATGGATAAGACTACAGCCCTGAAATGGGATAGACACATGTCTGAAGAGGTATAATATAAAGGAAAATGCTATTCAATCTCCTTCTTTAAAATATCAAGTATAGGAGTGAATAACACAACTGAGGCAAGGGGAAAAGGAGGATAAAGACAAATATTTCTTTCTCTTAGTTAACCTTGGCTGAAAACCACCAATAAATATCACTTACATTAGGGAGGCACCGTGGTAAAATTAATGTCTACTTCTTATATGTAAAAATGCAGAGATAATATTTCTGTTGCACCTTTGTATCAATAGTCAACTGTAGTGACTGTCTTTCTGGCCACAGTAGAAGAAAAACTGAGGGAGATAAAGTCAAAAAAGAAAAGCAAGAGGCATGAGCTTGGTGCAAGACATGTGAAACCTCCTTGAATACATTTCCTATTCTCTTGTTTACAAAAACCAGGCAGGTCACATCACACCATTAATGCTTCCTTTCCTTATTATAAATACTGTAGTAACTCCTTATTTTAACCTTGAGGCTGATTAAAAAAAAAAAAAAAATTTAGGAGAAGGGTAAAGAACTCAACTTCAACATGCCTTTAGAAACAAAACAAATAAACCTGACAGGTCCAAGATCTCCCACATTTCATCCCTTACAACATCTCTTGACTGTCAGTAGGGCACAGATACACGGGGAAGGAGCTGAGCTGGCTACAGCAGTTACTTAGCTGCAGAGAGCGGGGACAGGAATCCTTCCAGTGACTATTCGATAAGCCAAGCCCAAAATAACATCCCAACATTGCACATGTGGTTATCTGTACTGATGGAAGTTTTATTTCAAATGTAATAATACTCTTCAATAGATGGGGTAAAATAAAGATTGCTTTCCTTCCCACTCCCCAACCCCCCAGCCAAATGAACTGGCTTTGGTTATGTTTACCTTTTTTTTTTTTTCTTTTCTTTTCTTTTTTTTTTTTTTAATACAAACAACTTGGGGAAGGCAGATAAGTGCAATAGGAGGGAGGACTGAATGGAATAGTAAAATGTAAGCATATATGACTTCTTACTTTGGAGAGAGGCCCTTTGTTATAATAAAAAAAAAAATTGAGAAAGAGAAAACAAATAAAAACAAAAAACAATGAACCAAACTCCTACTTCCAATGTTCTCTAGACTGTTCAAAATGCCTTTCCCTTGGTTTCCATCAGTACCTGGGAGGAAAGAATGGGCGTTTTGGTGCAAAGAACGGAGGGCCCCTAGCAAAAGGTGGCCTGGGTCTCTTTAAACTGTGAAATGGGTCTCTGCTGAGAAAAGGTTCCCTAGGCCGAAAGTCTGGCCGGGGACTCCGTAAGATCATACCACTCCGGCTGATGGTGTCTCTGTGTGAGGGACCCAAGGGGGGGCCACTGCTGCTGTTGCTGCCTCCCCCACCACCTCCTCCATGGGGTGGGCCCAGGTGTTCCAGAGAATGGGAGGATAGGGTCAGGCTCTCTCGTACACGGCTAAGACCAGGGCCGTTGAGGTCCCGTTGGGTGGGGACCCCATGGTCCCTGGGTCCTGGGAGCACCCCAAAATGCTCAGCCAGGGTCCCTTGAAGGAGGGAACTATGGTCCTTGGGAAATACTGCCACAGCCCCTGCCACTCCGTGCTCTGCCAGTGGTGGGGTTGGGAAGGGTACAACTCCAGAGTGGTCAACAGGTGGTGGAGGAGGGGGTGGAGCAGAAAAGGGGACACCACTCCCACCACTGCTGCTATGTTCCCCAGGGGGGGGAGGAGGAGGTGGGGTAGGGAAAGGAATTCCACTGTGCTCTCCGGGAGGAGGGGGTGGGGCAGCATGGGCCAGGGCTGCCTCCTTTGTGAAGGGGTTCGAAAGATCCACAGAGGGTAGATGAGTGGGTGCATCTCGAGAGAAGATACCACCATGATCCTTAGGAGGGACAGGTGGGGCAGATGATGGGCCCACTGGCTCTCTTTGGAAGGGTGTCCCATGTTCCAAGGGGGACGGGGGAAGATGATGCTCAAATGTTGAGTTGAAACTGTTGGAACGGAAGCTGCCGACACTCTCCTGAAATTGGGGTGCCCGTTCTTTGTATGGTGCTGTTTTAAAGCCAGTGAGGCCTCCGCTGCCCCCACCCCCAAGGGATGCCAACTCAGAGGCACTTGAGGGGCCATTGTCAAAAGAGCTACCTGATGTGCTCAGATCAAACCAACCCACCCTCGAAGCCTCACGCCCGTGTCCTCTATTTCCCTTCCCAGGAACTCGGATGGACTCTACGGTCTGGATCGGCTCCCCTGACATCCTCCTATTGGATGCATTGTGATAACCCAGGGTTTCTATAGGGGCCCCCTTTTCTTCTGTGCTATCAGGCAAGTCTAAGCAGGAGGAGGAGACGCGGGTTTCTATGCGGTAGTGCTCTTCTTGTTGCTGCTGATCAGTGGCGGTCAAGCTGGGCTGGGTGAGGTTTGAGAGACTGACACCATCAGTTGGAGTGCCCTTGCTGGGGGCCTGGCCAAAATGCTTATCATCTGAGGGCTTACGTGAGGCGTTTTTAAGCATATTCTTAAATTCAATCGTCGACGTGGTGGAAATGGTGGAGGCCAGGACTTTCTCCACGCCTGATGTGGGTGGGTGACCCGTGGGAGCGGCAAGGGTGTTCTGCGGAGAGAAAAGGGAACGATGTGGGACTGGGTGAGGAGAGTCTGGGTACTGCTTCTGTGGCAAACTGAGATGCCCAGTGGTAGATTGAGACAAGCTATTGTGGTTGGAGTCAGGGGTGAAAAATGAATCATTCTTACTCGGTGATGGTGACCGGTCAGACCCAGATTCATTCCCTCTTACGCTGAAGGCACCAAATAGCCCAGGGGAAGATGAGAGACGGTCACAGTTCTCACTAGAGTCCAGCAGGGCCCTTACAGATGGAGGGAAGGCAGACTTTACCCCAAATTCTTGGGCTCTGTGGCTATAACTGGACAGAATTGGCTGGTACTCGGTGGTATCAGACAGCTTGCTTGATTTCAGGATAGATTTGGCTGGTTTCTTCTCTAGGTTCATCATGGCAGAGGGTGGAGGCCCTGAATAGTCAAAATCTCGGTAATCCTCATCTTCTTGGAAAGAAGTGTCTGGGTAGAACTTTTCCTGTGAAGAGTCCATCAGGGAAGATGGTCTCTCTATTCCATCAGAAGGTTGCTTATAGGGAGATTCACTGCCCAGACCAAAGGGTCGATATGTAGAGACAGAATTGGAGAGCTCTCGGGGATAGCTTTCATCTCTCCCAGGGGGTGGTGATCTTGTACTGCTGGGTGTTGAGGAACCAGGGCTAATGATCTTAGAAAGCAGGGACATGGTATCTACACTGCTGGATGTGGGCTTGTCCATCATCTCATCCTGGGTGGGTGTCCCACTCCGTTCATCCCGTACAGGGGTTCCATCAATGTTGTCGATTGAGGTGCTAGTAGGGCCACGCTGGAAGTCTGAGGGATGGCTCTCTGATGGGGCGCTGGACCCCAAACTGCTCAGGATTGGGATGTTTAAGTTTAAGCCACTGAAACCAGGATTACCTTTTAAGAAGTTGTGGATCTTCATTTCCAAGCTTGGGGAGGTGGACTCTGACTCCAGTTTTGGCTTGGACACCTCTGAAGATTGGCACATGGTAACTTCAGTAGGTGGGGCAGCAGGGCTAGTATTGTGGGTAGCTGTAAACCCCAGAGAGTTGGACGGTAGTTTAAAAGTGGCGCTTGGGAGCCCTGGGCTTTGCCCAATTGAGGCCTTGCTGGCTGAAGTTGAAGAGACTTCAGAAGTTGATGAGTTAGGAGAATAGTTGAAGCTTTTGGGAATAAAAGGTTGGGTACTGGAGGACAGATTTCTTCCCTTTATGGTAGAGACTGTGGTGTTGGCAGGGGAAGCTGAAGTGCTCTGTGAGGCAGCTTCACTGGCTGGAACTGGGTTCCCAGTAACACTCTGAAGTAAAGATGACAGGCCTGTAGAAACAAAGATTAGAGGGCTTAAAAAGAACAACTCCCTATGATACAATGCAAACAATGCAGGCTAATCAGATATTCTCATTCATTTTGGTGGGAACCAGATAGACAAAGTGTAAGGCCAAAAAGAATCCAGACCAAACAAGCAATGCCTAAATGTCATAGAAAATGCTGGGCCTATTTATCAATAACGAGCAAAATCACTGAAATGTTTCCAGTACAGTCCAGAAATAAGCCCAACATGGCACAATAAAAGGCCACAGGAAGGGGGAGATTTTAATGTCAGAATCATTCACAGTTTAAGTAAGGCAAAGCAGGAAAAGAAAGGAGGCAACATTATTCTTAAAACAACACTTAAAGCCAGTATTTCTTAATATTTGATCTGTGGAAATATTTCTCTAAATACAAACAGATCCTCTGTTCTACCTTTCCTATCCAACCTTCACACCACAATTATCTCTATTAAGTTAATATAGCTTTGTGCAGTGGCAGTATCGTAGCCAATAAGGTTTATCCGAGGCGTGATTATTGCTAATTGAAAACCTCCCAATACCCTGCCGTGACGACTTGCAATACAGTCGGAAAAAGAAAAAAAAAAAAAAAGTTAATATACGTTGTTATTTTCAAGAGAGAGACAGGCAAATGTAAATTTTGGAGATTTATCTGAACAGCAAACACTTTTTTCAAGAAGCATCTCTTGGCAGACTACTGCTACTTTTTGGAAAACAATGCTTTCAACCATCCGTTTTGGTTGTAAAATGTAGCTATAATAAACATACACCACAAAGACTTAAAAAGACAAACTACCAGGACACTGGTCTTTTCACAAAAAAACACACAATCCCTATTTGATAGCGTAGAAAATCCAAGGATTATTTAATCCAGATTAACAACGATGAAATTCAACTGTGTTCAATGATAATCAAAACTTTCTCAGAAGCACTGTGAAAGAATTCTCTTTGGCAAAGGCTGAAGTTCAACAAAGCAAAATGCCCCTGTAGAAAATTTTTTTAGAAAAATACTTGACAAAAAGATAATAGAAAGTCCTATAAATTCAATTGTATTTTGGAAAATTTACCCAATTTCTGGTCACAAATGAAAACTTTCAGCCGGGCATGGTGGCTCATGCCTGTAATCCTGGCATTTTGTGCGGCAGAGGCAGGAGGATGGCTTGAGGCCAGGAGTTTGAGACCCACCTAGGCAACATAGTGAGAATCTGTCTCTAAAAGAATTTTAAAAATCTGCCAGGTGCAGTGCCTCACCCTTGCAATCCCAGCACTTTGGGAGGCTGAGACAGGCAAATCACCTGAGGTCAGAAGTTTGAGAGCAGCCTGGCCAACATGGTGAAACTCCATCTCTACTAAAAATACAAAAATTAGCCGGGGTTGGTGGCGGGTACCTGTAATCCCAGCTACTTGGGAGGCTGAGACAGAAGAATCGCTTGAACCTGGGAGGTGGAGGTTGCAGTGAGCCAAGATCGTGCCACCGCACTTCAGACTGGGTGACAGAGAGAGAGTTCCTCTCGGAAAAAAAAAAAAAAAAAAAAAGTTAAAAATCAGCTGGGTATGCCTGTAGTCCTAGCTACTCAGGAGGCTGAGGCTGGAGGATCACTTGTGCCCAGCTCAAGGTTAGAGTAGGCTAACTATGATTTTGTCACTGCACTCCAGCCTCAGTGACAAAGTGAGTCTCTATTTAAAAATAATTTGAAACATTTTAGGCTGGGCGCAGTGGCTCACGCCTGTAATCCTAGCACTTTGGGAGGCCAAGGTGGGTGGATCATCTGAGGTCAGAAGTTCAAGACCAGCCTGGCCATCATGGTGAAAACCCTCTTAAAAAATAAATAAATATTTTAATAACATTTCACCCAAATTTATAGCTTTTAGTCACTGAATAGACTAAAATTGTTCCTTAGTAATTATATGGTGAAAGAAAATACTTCATGTGATACCTCAATTAATGTTGCTTCAAAATTTCGATTTTAACCCATATTCTAACATATTTAAGGTCTGAAGAATTTCAAGTCCCCTCCATCCTTGCAACATTTTAAAGCCATTTACTTCCAAATAATGCTGCATGGTCTTTTTTTTTCCTAATTTATTTATTTATTTATTTATTTATTAATTAAGATGGAGTTTCACCATGATGGCCAGGCTGGTCTTGAACTCCCGACCTCAAGTGATCCACCCATCTCGGCCTCCCAAAGTGCTAGGATTACAGGAGTGAGCCACCGCACCTGGCCTATTTTTTTTCTTTTTTTTTTTTTTTTATTTCTTAGGAAGACTTCACCTGAAGCATGGTCTTTCTTGTTATCCAATATTCAATAATATCCAAATGACTGAAATGTTTACTTTAGTTATGAACCTCCTGAGGAAAAAAAAAAATCCATGTTTCATTCCAAAAAGTTCCCTAGCTACATAATTAATCCCTCCTAATAGTTTAATTTTTTTTTTTTCTTTTTTTAAGTGACAGCCTCTTGCTCTGTCACCCAGGCTGGAGTGCAGTGGTGCGATCATAGCTCACTATAAGCTCAATCTCTTGGGCTCAAAAGATTCTCCTGCCTTATCCTCCCCAGTAGCTGGGACCACAGGTGTGTGTCACTATGTTCAGCTAATTTTTTAATTTTTAGTAGAGACAAGGTCTTACTATGTTGCCCAGGTTGGTCTTGAAATCTTGGGCTTAAGTGATCCTCCTCCTTCAGCCTCCCAAAGTGCTGAGATTACAGGCATGAGCCACCATGCCCAGCCTGATTTATTTCTTAGTAATCATTGTTCTCACAAAACCCAGAAGCCCTCAAACACTAGAATGTGACATATGATAATGTAATATAATTTTTAGAACATATTTCTATATACTTTTCAGATATTTTGGGATAACTCTTCAAAAGAACATCTTGTTAAGACAGATATACTACTGACATTTTTGGTAATAGGTAAAATTGTATCTCACCACTAAATATTATTGTTCTCCAGTTTTTCTTTTTAAAAGTTATTTAAAAAAATTCTTTTTTAAGGCCGGGCGCGGTGGCTCACGCCTATAATCCCAGCACTTTGGGAGGCCGAGGCGGGTAGATCACGAGGTCAAGAGATCGAGACCATCCTGGTCAACACGGTGAAACCCCGTCTCTACTAAAAATACAAAACATTAGCTGGGCATGGTGGCACGTGCTTGTAATCCCAGCTACTCAGGAGGCTGAGGCAGGAGAATAGCCTGAACCCAGGAGGCGGAGGTTGCGGTGAGCCGAGATTGCGCCATTGCACTCCAGCCTGGGTAACAAGAGCAAAACTCCGTCTCAAAAAAAAAAAAAAAAATTCTTTTTTAAAAAAATAGAGATGGGGTCTTGCTATATTGACCAGGCTGGTCTCAAACCCCTGGCCTAAGTGATCCTCCCATCTCAGCTTCCCAAAGTGTTAGGATTACAGGCATGAGCCACTGAGCCCAGGCAAAAGTTTCTTCTTCATAAGGTATGCTCCTTTGCCCACTGAAGTCTCTCTCTTTTGAGGCAGAGTTTTGCTCTTGTCGCCCAGGCTAGAGTGCAATGGTGCCATCTCGGCTCACTGCAACCTCTGCCTATCTCGGCTTACTGCAACCTCTGCCTCTCAGGTTCAAGTGATTCTCCTGCCTCAGTCCCCTGAGTAGTTGGGGTTACAGGTGTGAGCCACCACGCCCGGCTAATTTTTTTGTTTTTTTTTGTTTTGGAAAGACAGGTTTACCCTGTTGGCCAGGCTGGTCTTGAACTCCTGACTTCGGGTGATACATCTGTCCCAGCCTAAAGTTTCTCTTTAGTGTTGTGAATCTGTCAATAGCTAGGGCTGTGGATGATACAATCAGAACAAACTTCTAAGATTTCATTAACAGTCTCTGAGAAAATACATCTATTTAAGTTGCTAGATCCGGTCCTTTTAAAAGTCAAAGAGAATTCCACATTCCATAAGGAACCTAATTCTGTTCAAATTTTGGCTCATCAGAAATTCCACATGGGCCGGGCGCGGTGGCTCAAGCCTGTAATCCCAGCACTTTGGGAGGCCGAGGCGGGTGGATCACGAGGTCAAAAGATCGAGACCATCCTGGTCAACACGGTGAAACCCTGTCTCTACTAAAAATACAAAAAATTAGCTGGGCATGGTGGCGCATGCCTGTAATCCCAGCTACTCAGGAGGCTGAGGCAGGAGAATTGCCTGAACCCAGGAGGCGGAGGTTGTGGTGAGCCGAGATCGCGCCATTGCACTCCAGCCTGGGTAACATGAGTGAAACTCCGTCTCAAAAAAAAAAAAAAAAAAAAAAAAAAAAAAAAAGAAATTCCACATGGACCAGAAGTGGTGGTTCATACCTATGATCCCAGCACTTTGGGAGGCTGAGAAGAGTGGATCACCTAATGTCAGGATTTCGAGACCAGCCTGGCCAATCATGGTGAAACCCCGTCTTGAATCTACTGAACCCAGCAGACGGAGGTTGCAGTGAGCTGAAATCACGCCACTGCACTCCAGCCTGGGTGACAAGAGCGAGACCTTGTCTCAAAAACAAACAAACAAACAAAAAAAAACAAAAAGAAAAGAGGCTGGGTGAGGTGGCTCACACCTGTAATCCCAGCACTTTGGGAGGCCAAGGTGGGCGGATCATATCTGAGGTCAAGAGTTCAAGACCAGCCTGGCCATGGCCAACGTGGTGAAACACTGTCCCTACTATAAATACAAAAATTAGCTGGGTGTGGTGGCAGGTGCCTGTAATCCCAGCTACTCAACAGGCTGAGGCAGAAGAATTACTTGAACCCAGGAGGCAGAGGTTACAGTGAGCAGAGATCACGCCACTGAACTCCAGCCTGGGGAACAAAGCAAGCCTCTGTCTCAAAAAAACAAAAACTAAATAAATAAAAATAAAAAGGGAGAAATCATAAACATGTCAATTTCTCCAATTGTCCCTGATATTAGTAGTACAACACATGCTGCAGTCATCAATTCTTTATTGCTGATGCCAGTAGACAGGAACCGTGGATTATTAATACTATTTAGTTCTGTGTAACAAAATTCTTCTGCATCTCAAGACAAAGCTTACTATAGTATGCTTGAATGATCCACTTACGGACATTTTAGGAAACTGTTTTATACCACTCCATTCATAGAGAGCAGGGTTTCTCAACCTCAGCACTACTGACACTTTGAGCTAGATAATTCTTTATTGTTGGGGGCTGTCTTACACATTGTAGGATATTTAGAAGCATGTTCCTGGCTTCTACTCACTAGAAGCAGTAGCACCCCTACCCTTACCTCAGCCGAGACAACGAAAAAGGTCTCCAGATATTGCCAAGTGTCCCCCCTGGAGGCCTTTGGTTGAGACTACTAATATAGAGTAAATCACTACATGGAAGATACTGTCCTGGTATTTGTAAATCATTGCGTAATTATACTACGGTGCTTAAAAAGGGTTTCGTTGGTATCCGGGGCATAAGAGGGTAGAGGGTAGAAAAGATTTATGAGAAAAGGTTAGAAGCAGGCAGCATCATGTACAAACCATAGTTAGCAAAGCTGAATAGAAAGGGTCAAATGAAAGAGATTATAGGTAGAGATGAAAATAAAAATTCCACATCTAAGACTCTAATAAAATAATAAATAATGAAGCCTCTATAAAACATTAGGACACAAAAAGGATATACTAGTATCTCATAAAATTTCTTGTTTATTTGTTGTTGAGGCAGGGTCTCACTCTATCACCTAGGTTGGAGTACAGTAGTGTGACCACAGCTTACTGCAGCCTTGAATTCCTGAGCTCAAGTGATGCTCCTGCCTTAGCCCCCTGAGTAGTTGGAACTACAGGCATGCACCACCATGCCCACTTAATTTTTTTTTTTTTTTTGAGACAGAATCTTGCTCTGTCACCCACTCTGGAGTGCAGTGGTGTGATCTGGGCTCACTGAAACTGTCTCAACAAAAAAGAACTCTGTCTCAAAAAAAAAAAAAAAAGAATAATGACAGCCAGGTGTGGTGGCTCATACCTATAATCCCAGGACTTTGGGAGGCCAAGGTGGGTGGATCACCTGAGGTCAGGAGTTCGAGATCAGCCTGGCCAACATGGAGAAACCCCGTCTCTACTAAAAATACAAAAATTAGCTGGGCATGGTGGTGTGGGTCTGTAATCCCTGCTGCAAGGGAGGCTGAGGCAGGAGAATCACTTGACCTGAGAGGCAGAGGTTTCAGTGAGCCAAGATCGCTCCACTGCACCCCAGGCTGGGCAACAGAGTGAGACTCCATCTCAAAAATAAAATATATTTAAAAAAGTAAATAAATTCAATAATGAATTAAACTGTATTATACATTTTATGGCTCTCGATTCCTCAGAAATGGAATCCAGGATTCCATTCATTTTTGCCAGAGACAAAACATTCACAATTCCAGTCCCTCTGGCACATGTCAGTTACCTTGCAGTGTAGGAGCTGACTGTGTCTGGGTTTTGGAAAGTGCAGACAGAATGCTCTCTGGGGTGATCTCCACCTTGGAGAGGATATTTGCCAGAGGGTTGTGAGATGTTGTGGCAGGTGCAGGTGTTTTCAGGCCACTGGTGAGGTTGCTGGGGCTGGTGGGAGTTCCTGGAGAAGGTCTTGATGCAGGACTGACCCCTGGTGGCAGAAAGATGAACTCAAGAAAATGCATTTCAAAATTACTTCTTTTTTTTTTTTTTTTTTGTTTTGCGGTCCGTCGGCCAGGATGGAGTACAATGGCATGATCTTGGCTCACCACTACCTCTGCCTCCCAGGTTCAAGTGATTCTCCTGCCTCAGCCTCCCAAGTAGCTTAGATTACAGGTACGTGCCACCATGCCTGGCTATTTTTTTGTATTTTTAGTAGAGATAGGGTTTCACTGTGTTAGCCAGGATAGTCTCAATCTCCTGACCTTGTGATCTGCCTGCCTCAGCCTCCCAAAGTGCTGGGATTACAGGTGTGAGCCACAGCACCCAGCTCAAAATGACTTTTCAATTCCCGATACTTTCCACTCATTCTAATGAGTTTAATATGTTTAACAAGAATTATTCCGTGACTGATCCACAAATGGTCCATCATAACAGGACATGTACAAAAAAAAGTCTGAAGATTATCTCCTTTTACTCAGAACACCCTTAAAACAAACAAGTATTGGCCCAGCCTGGCGGCTCCTGCGTGTAATCCCAGGACTTTGGGAAGTCAAGGTGGGCGGATCACCTGAGGTCAGGAGTTGGAGACCAGCCTGGCCAACACAGTGAAACCCCATCTCTGCTAAAATTAAAAAATTTGCTGGGCGTGAGGGCAGGCGCCTGTAATCCCAGCTACTTGGGAGGCTGAGGCAGGAGAATCACTTGAACCCGGGAGGCAGGTAAGTGAGCCAAGATCACGCAGCTGCACTACAGCCTGGGCAACATAGTGAGACTCCATCTCAAACAAACAAACGAACAAAAAACAAACAAAAAAACCCACAAATATTAAGTGATTTTCATCATTTTGAGAGTCTCAATATTTCTTACTTATTTTTAAAAAATAGAGACAGGGTCTTACTATATTGCCCAAGGTGGCCTTGAACTCTTGACCTTAAGTGATTCTCCTACTTTGACTTCGTGCTGGGGATTACAGGTGTGCGTTACCACACCTAGACAATATTTCTTTTTTCTCCACCAAATGGCACTTACAGCTTAGAGCCTGTAGGTGCTCAATAAACACTCCTGGCTGACTGATGAAAGCCACTGGCAGCACTGCATAATTCTATGTGACTGATAAGTTACTTGCTTTTGAAATAGCCTTTAAAATGAGATTACCTGACCAACAAGGTGAAACCCTGTCTCTATTAAAAACAAAAAAATTAGCGGGGTATGGTGGTGCGCACCTGTAATCCCAGCTACTTGGGAGGCTGAGGCAGGAGAATCACTTGAACTTGGGAGGCAGTTCGCAGTGAGCCAAGATAGCACCACTGCACTCCAGCTTGGGTGACAGAGTGAGACTCTGTCTCAAAAAAAAAAAAAAAGAACCTTCCTTTACATTTTGAAACACTAGGTTGATCTTTAACACAGGAAAGAAAATATATAAAGAGAAAAACATGTGATATTGTTAAGAAAGATAAAAAAATATGAACAGGTATTTCACAAAGAAACGTAAGTGATAAGCATCCAGGAGCCGTGGCTCACGCCTGTAATCCCAGCACTCTGGGAGGCCAAGGCAGGCAGATCATCTGAGGTCAGGAGTTCGAGACCAGCCTGACCAATGGAGAGAAACCCCATTTCTACTAAAAATACAAAATTAGCTGGGCATGGTAGTACATGCCTGTAATCCCAGCTACTCAGGGGGCTGAGGCAGGAGAATCGCTTGAACCTGGGAGGGGGAGGTTGTAGTAAGCCAAGAACATGCCATTGCACTCCAGCCTGGGCAATAAGAGCAAAACTCCATGTCAAAAAAAGAGAAAAGAGATGTAAGTGATAAGCAAAGAAAAAAATTTTTTTTAACATGTTTCATAAAAGATATGCAAATTTAAGGTTGGGTTTGTAGATTGCACAAGGCAAGTAACTGGAGAGGGTAAGGAACAACAGAAACTTTCATATATTAGTCATAAAATAGCACTTTTTTGAAATCTATTTAGTTATAACATATTAAAAGACTTCACATATTTATTTTTATTTATTTTTTGAGGCACGGTCTCACTGTGTTGCTCAGGCTGGAGTGCAGTGGCTACTCACAGGCATGATCACCGTGAACTACACAGCCTGAATTCCTGGCTTCAAGCGATCCCCTTGCCTTTGCCTCCCGAGTAGCTGGGACTACATGGTATCCCACAACGACTGGCAAAATTTATTAAAAAAATTTGAGGCAGGGTGCGTGGCTCATGATCATAATGCTAACACTTTAGGAGGCCAAGGTGGGAGGAACACTTGAGCCCAGGAGTTCAGGATCAGCCTGGGCAACACAGGGAGACCCTGTCTCTACCAAAACCCACAAAACTTAGCAAGGTGTGGTGGCACACACCTGTGGTCTCAGCTACTTAAAGGCTCAGGTGGGAGGATCACTTGAACCCATTAGTTTGAGGTTACAGAGAGCCATGACTGCACCACTGCACTCTAGGCTAGGTGATAGTGAGACTCTGTCTCAAAATAAACAAATAGAATTCCATTTAAAAAGTTTTATATACTTAGCAACCCTTTCAGAAAGGCTTGTTCATAAAATTTTTTATCATCATTTATAGTATTCTGTTTTTTGTTGAGACAGTCTTGCTCTGTTGCCCAGGCTGGAGTGCAGTGACTCTATCTCAGCTCACTGCAACTTTCACCTTCTGGGTTCAAATGATTCTTATGCCTCAGCCTCCTGAGTAGCTGGGATTATAGGTATGCACCACCACAGCTGGCTCATTTTTGTTTTTGTTTTTTTGAGACGGAGTCTTGCTCTGTCACCAAGGCTGGAGTGCAGTGGCACGATCTTGGCTCATTACAATCTCCTCCTCCCAGGTTCAAGCGACTATCCTGCCTCAGCTTCCCAAAGAGCTGAGACTACAGACACATGCCACCACTCCCAGCTAATTTTTTTATTTTTAGCAGAGACAGGGTTTCACCATGTTGGCCAGGCTGGTCTTGAACTCCTGACCCCAGGAGATACACCTGCCTTGGCCTCCCAAAGTGCTAGGATTACAGTCGTGACCTACTGCGCCCGGCCTCATTCTTGTTATTTTTTTTTTAGTAGGGTTTCATCATGTTGTCCAAGCTGGTCTCGAACTCCTGGCCTCAAGTGATCCACCCTTCTTCACCTCCCAAAGTGCTGGGATTGCAGGCGTGAGCCACCCTGTCTGGCCTTACAATATTCTTTATAACATTAAAAAACTGGAAACATACTGAGTGCGCCTAATAATAAAGGATTAGATAAGTTATCAAATGCTATACAGCTATTCCAAATGATGTAGAAAAATATTTAATGAGTCATAAAAACGTTCAAGATATGTAATTCACTTTTAAATAGCTGGTTTTAAAACAGTATATGCAATACACTTCAATTGCTTTTTTTTGTTTCTCCCTAAAATGGGGTTTCACCATGTTGGCCAGGCTGGTCTCGAACTCCTGACCTCAAGTGATCCACCCACCTTGGCCTCCCAAAGTGCTGGGATTACAGGTGTGAGCCACCACGCCCGGCAGTTCAATTGCTTTTTAAAAAATTATTATAAATATTTAATCCTCCAAAACATTCATATACACATATACTTTTAAAGGTAAACAAGTAGTTTCCTTTGGGATAACAGAATTACAGCTACCATTTAAAAAATTTTTTCATTTAAAATTTTTATTTAGAGATGGGGTTCTCACTATATTGCCCAGGCTGGTCTCGAACTCCCAGGCAATCTACCATCTCGGCATCCTGTGCAGTAGGGCACACCTGTGATCTCAGCACTTCGGGACGACGTGGAGGGTGGATCACCTGAGGTCAGGAGTTTCAGACCAGCCTGGCCAACATAGTGAAACCTGTCTCTACTAAAAATATGTGCTGGGATTACAGGCATGAGCCACAATGCCCAGCCTAGATATTAGTTTCATTCTCTTTGCTTATTTTCTAATTTTTCTATAATGACGCTTTCTTAGATTTTTTTTTTTTTTTTTTTTAAAAGCAGAGCTTCACTCTTACTGCCCAGGTTGGAGTACAATGGTGCAGTCTCAGCTCACAGCAATCTCCGCCTCCCGGGTTCAAGTGATTCTCCTGTCTCAGCCTCCTGAGTAGCTGGAATTACAGGTGCCCACCACCACGCCCGGCTCATTTTTATATTTTTGGTAGAGAAGGGATTTCACCATGTTGTCCAGGCTGGTCTCAAACTCCTGACCTCAGGTAATCTGCCCACCTCGACCTCCCAAAGTGCTGGGATTATAGGCATGACCCACTGCGCCTGGCCTGGATTTTATTTTTTAATTTAAAAATTAATTTAGCGGGGTGTGGTAGTGCACGCCTGTGATCCCAGCACTTCGGGACAACACGGTAGATGGATCACCTGAGGTCAGGAGTTTCAGACCAGCTGGCCAACATGCTGAAACCCGTCTCTACTAAAAATACAAAATTAGCCAGGCACGGTGACTCACGCCTGTAAACCCAGATTTTGGGAGGCCAAGGTCGGCGGGTCTCGAGGACAGGAGTTCGAGACCAGCCTGATCAACATGGTGAAATCCGTCTCTAATAAAAATACAAAAATTGCCGGGCGCGGTGGCTTACGCCTGTAATCCCAGCACTTTGGGAGGCCGAGGCGGGTAGATCACGAGGTCAAGAGATCGAGACCATCCTGGTCAACATAGTGAAACCCCGTCTCTACTAAAAATACAAAATATCAGCTGGGCATGGTGGCGCGTGCCTGTAATCCCAGCTACTCGGGAGGTTGAGGCAGGAGAATTGCCTGAACCCAGGAGGTGGAGGTTGCGGTGAGCCGAGATCACGCCATTGCACTCCAGCCTGGGC